CGCACGCACACACAGAGAGAAGACTCGTTTTGCAATCGCGTATGCGGTCCAGTTCGTCGTTCTGGTTGTGAGACACTTGTTTATGGCTAACCCCGTGTGGATCTTTACGGTCTTTCGTCACACACACAGTCGGACAAATAAAAATGGTCCGCTAGCAAAGATTTCTTGTTTGAAAAATATTTCAGGATAATAAGAAGGCATATATGTTGGGATGTAACGCAAATGGTTTCACAAACACCGAACAGGGGCATGGATCCACCGCAGAGTGTAAAGGCCTAGTGTTGGTAACTATAACCTCGTCGTGAATTAGAACAAAACCCCCATGGAATTCAAAAAAGTATTCGCAGGTCTCTGTGATCTCACCAACCCCCTCCGGGTCAGATAATTTGCATCATGTACACCACCGTACTCAGGAGGCTGTCTGTATTCACGACTTGCTCCACCACCCACTTTCACATACGACCACAGGTAACGACTGTTCGGTGCAGAGTCATAAACGAGAACATTTACGAGCTTTGGACTCTCGTTCGCCTGTACGCACTGACACAGAGAGAGCGACACAGAGAGAGAGAGAGCGAGAGAGTACAACGCTAAACCAATATGAACAGCTTAGCTCGGTCCAGTGTATAATCGGGTCGGGCGATCGCAGAGGTTGGGGTATGTGTGCGTGTGTGGACAGGCAGTACAAACTCCGATTCCCTTCTAAGTATGCTGTGGTGGTCTGTGAAAGTAACGGGAGGGGAGGAGTTGGAGAAAAGTATGCGTTAACTTTTAGATGTTCGCTAACAATACTATTTCTACGAAACAGCATAAAATTGTAGTAATATGCTGCTCGTAACTCTGACAGGGGAAGAAACCGTTTGCTAAACAACATTCATTGAGAATTTGATGGTTTCCGAATGTTTTTTTCTCGAAAAAATGTAAGCGGGAGAAGAGAGGCGGTCGGGGTAACACGGGGATTCTGTTTTATGCTTATTATTAGTTTGGTTGTACAAATAAGCTACGTTTGAAGTTAGTACCGAAAAAAGAAAGGTATGGAACTGATTTTGTCTTGTAACCTCAGTTGCTCTCCAAAAGCATGTTATCCATGAACCAGGAATGGTCGAATTCCTTTTTAATCTTGTGAAGTTATTCATCCTGAGGCACACGGATGGTCTAATAATGGTTCGCATTGAAATATGATGGCATTTCACACAAATATTTGCTGAATTTTTATCTTAAAACCGAAACACTCAAGGCAATCTGTGATACTGGCCTTATCTGGTATTGCGCACGCATAAAAAAACCCAGAAAACTGGCTGTCTAGTGTTCCTGTCGCTTACATGTTACGTTAAATTGTCTTCCGTCAGATCGAGCCACACTTTGCATTATACCGTGGGTGCTAACTTCACAAAAAAATGTGGCTCCATTGTCTTGCTCGGTAAGTTGTAGGCCAAATGCTTGTTTGACCACATTTCCGGGTCCAGGAATAACACCACCCACTGTCACGCCGTCCATCAGATGGGCTTGAGACTGTCCAAGACGCTGACGTAACAGATTGAATGTGGGCACCGGATTGCTAGCTTCTGCACTACACATGATATGGCACCGGGTATCAACTGGAATTGGTCGCTCGTGGGATGGAACGGTCTCGATACGGAGTGATTTGGGAGTATCTAACCAAAAGAAGGATACAGAATGATCAACTAAGAAGAAGCATAAATTTTGAGGGTAGAGGAAGCTATGAGTATTTTCCTCCTAGTGGGAACACATTCAGGTGTTGAGAAACAATCGGTGATTACTTTACCTTGTGAAACGAACTGGAGTTAAAAATTTTGTCTCCGATATCTTTGAAAAGCGGATTTTCTAATGAAAGCCAAATGATCTTCGAGTGATCAAAAGGTTCACTTTGCATAAAGTTCCATCAGGTTGTGTATTCGAGTCCCATTCTCAAGAAAATCATTACTCGATAAAGGTCTTCTAAACAGTCTGAAACATCGCCATCATGTTCTGTTTTTATTCTCAATGGTTGATTATAAATCCACTATTATCTGTACAGGATACTGTTTAGCGAATATTTTAAAATTTAAATTAGATGATTACAATTTCCGTTTAACTCACCGTTACGTGTGATAAGTGTTGCGGGATAATAAATAATCAAGCAATCAAAGTACCAGTTTCATTGATTTTATTAACTCCCTGGACAATAAATTTTTCCCACATCTGGGCTTAAAACTAAGTTTAAAGTTTACCGGTCGTTTCTAATCAAAATATATACCTTCGTAACAGCCATCAGATAAAATTGCAGAATAAATACACCGGTCAGAAGGAGATACAATTAGTTTGAACCGTCCGTAACACGAGACCGGACAATGTAAAACGATCATGTGCAGAATGAGTAAATCTGAAAATGCACCAAACGTTTGCTTCGTGGCTTGCTCGTCCTGGACTCGTTAAGGTCCGTTCCAAAGATGAACTGAATTTCAAATCACCCGCAAGTGATTACCAAAAGAGATTCAGTTATCAAAAGACACTTTCCATGGATTGACTATTCAGTCCAAGTGATCGACACATTCAGAGTACCTGACCGGGTGAGTTCGAAAAATTCTTTACCTCACCAATGATGTTCCCCATTTCAGTTAATAAATAATTTCTAGGAAGCTGCTCCCCAGAGAAACTGAACAATCCTGAATGTAGGATAACGATGGAAGGTTTTGAACGCAGCTTATGTCAAAATGTGCCACCAATTTTTGTCGCTTGATCAGCGTCAATAAATACCCGAGTAAGTGAGAACTGCTCTTTTATCTCTGATCAAATAATTAAACAATGAAATACGATTAGCAAAATGATCATAAAAATAATGCTTGAACTTTTGGGTTGAGCAAACTACGTTTGATTGTCATCACTTCTGATTGCTCAGTGGTCAAGGAATTTGATGAATCTCAGTAGTTGTACGCGCGATCTGGAAGAGCAAAAGCCGATTGTTACTTTGAAAATAACTAAGAAAATACCATGTTTGCTTAAATTCTAAAGAGGTTTCAAAAATGGCTCCCAGGTTTCTATGCATTTAAACCATCATCGGTACCAGATCCACTGGATCAAAATACTCGAAGAAGAAGGATAGTGAATATGAAGCTTTAGTTACTTAAACCTTGAGATCTTTGTGACAAACGATTGCATTACGTCAGTAACAGGTGATTCAAGGCCTATTACCTGGTATATAATAGTGCATTCGGATTGCACAACCAGTGACTGAATAAATATTGTTAACTTCTAACTGTCTCGATCGGGAATATAAGTGTGGTCTGTGTGATCTATAAATACTGGGTAGGATAAGCAGCGAAAATGGGTACCAACCGGATTCTTGCAGGGCAGAGTGCTTCCTGGAGGTTTCATTGATAAATAATGCACAAAGCCCACACACTGATCGTTCAAAGTTTCCATTTAACAATGGATAATGAAAGCCAAATGTTCGTCAGTATTGGTTGAATTATTAACTAGACATTCACAATAGCTCATCTATGAAATATATTAAACCCTGACGCTTCGAAAATTCTCATTCCGATTCGAAGTGAAAGGTCAATTTGCAGTAATTTTGGTAGATTTTTATCATTTAACAGGCCCCTGGTTTATGTATGTGTGTGTGCGAACCCCACTACCAGCGTCTAACTTTCCGAATTTCATCGATTTTAGGTTATTCATTATCGAAAATTTGCCGATAAAATTAGGCATTTAACAACAAAGAAGGAAAACATAATAAAAAGTAATCAGTTTCACTCCGTTTTTTCCCCACACATTGATTATAGATGCATAAAACTATATCACATTCGTTTGAGAACCAAACTTAATTCGGTTCTATATTCAACTTTGCCCAGTATCATTCAAACACACTGCTCATTTTTCAATGCAAACTGCATCACTGCGCTGTCACACCTACTCTCCCTGTATTCTCTCACTGCGAACAATTCTAGCGCTGCGCAGGGATAGTGTGAAACTGTCATTGAAACGCTGTTTGAGGAAGACAACCCGAAATTCCCCTTCCTCCACGTCCCCGATTGATTGTATTTCGCTTCTGTGCAGAGGGCTCACCTATTAGTTTTATTGACACCAACTAAAATTTGACGGAAAATAAGAGTTCCTCGGGACCGTTTAATGTTTGTGTTTTCTTGTTTAACTCTACAGATGAAGAAAAAGCGAAACATGTACAGAAAAAATTATGTAACTACAGGTATGTTTTCACCGTTCACTAGCAATTTTTTAATAAGCTAGCATATTTAAGTGAAGTTCAACCTCTAGAATTTACCCCTAAGAAACATCCATTCCATCTGCATTAACTACTGACAAATACGCGTAACGTTCGAAAACATCAGGCTAATTGTTAAAACCGATATCTCTGAAATTATGAGCTCGTTTAGAGCTTAGAACCAAGTCAGTAATTCCATTCAGGTGCTCATTATGTTACCATTTTATAAAGGTGAAAGACGGCAATAATGCGGAGTTATGCACTGTATATTGTTTACGTCAATCACCCCACTTGGCCAGGATGCTTCTAAGAGTCCTGCAACATGTCTTTGGATTCCTACCTGTCTCTGTTGTCACGATAAATTCCTTACTATTGCGCATTGATTGTCCAAGGAATTACCTGATTACCCTCATTAGATCAGTCAGATTCTTCGATACATTTAACCTCGTATCTAAGCGGTTTTAACAACACGGAAATAACACTTCTTATATTCTCGTTGTAAAAATATCAACCAAATCATTTTGCACTATATGATTGTTTGACATCCACTTGTCTAGGAGACTGTATTGTCAACGTGCGGCCTAATATCACGTATATTTTGGTAGAACACAGTGTTTGGTTTAACTCTGGAATTTGCAGCTAGTTAATGGAGGTTCACTCCGTCTACTATGCATTGCGTAGAGGTTTAGAATACAAAAACTACCAACAGTTTAAGCTTTTATTATTTACATTCTTCAGATTATCTTTTTAGTAACCTTGTACCGCTGGAATTCACAATTTCCCCTACGACATTTTTTTCAAATTTCCAATCTTTCTTCTAATTCTTCGTTTAAATGGGTAGCCAAATACAGCAACCACAACCGCGCATGTATCATATATTACTTGAAGTTTGGTTTGAAATAATCAAGTACTAAGTAAATATTTGCCTGTCCTGGTGATCAAAACATCCAAAATATCAGGACAATGAGGTTCGTCACATTCCATGAGGTCATTGTTTTCAGTAGAGATTTTGCTCTCTTCAGGTTCATGTAAACTTACAATGTACATCCAGCTGGATTTGTCGAACTGCGCGTCTCCCACGTCTGTCCATCACGGTGCATTCAAACAGAGTACCTTCGTCATACCGCAAATCACGTACTTCCACTGCGGACGTGAACGCGTTCGGCTGCTCAACCCGACTGACAATTTGACTTCGTTCGGTTCCTTTATGGAGCCGCTGCTTGGACAAGCGATGCCAGGCAAATCGAAGTACCACATCGTTCCTGTGACGTGTGGAACTTTTGCCCGAAGCGTTCCCCCGTGACAGTCCGTACGATTCGGGTGTCGGAGCTACAGTGCACGTCAGTCGAACAGTGCTGCCCGTGGCCACTGGATTTTGACTTACTGTGAGGCTTTCAATGTAAGGTGCATCTAAAATAGAAGCAAGATTAGTAGTCAAGTCTAGAGGGCCAAAGTTTTCGAGACACATCGGTATATGCATGTCATGGTTTGTTGAAACAAATGGGTATCTAAGCAGCCGAGTCGAGCAAATCTCATCGGGATCCTTTTTCGTCGTTTTGCAAATGAAATTCCTTTCTCGTTTACTCTTGAAGTTCATTTTCCGTCTGTAAGCCTATACGAAATGTAAACGAAGAATGTCCGGTGCCACAGTGTAAGCAAAGTCCGGTAGGGAAAAGAAGCTGTTTTTTGGTATTTTCATCAACCAGTCATTAAGTATCCAAAGATTGGATCCTCCTATACAACCAAAAACAGTTCGTTTGGGCTCTCGCCTTATCGTGACCTCGGATGAAGAAACGCACTCCACCCGCGGGGGGACGCATCAATGAACTAATTGAGATGAGTACAGGTAAACAATCTTAACACACGTTCTGTAATTAGTTTGACACGATCAAAACTGGATTGACGAAGCTAAATAACGCTATACGAAATGCTTCATTGGAGATTGATATAACCTCGAAGTAGGTTAATAGCTGTCAGAGTTTTACTAGTTGACCGCTTCAAAAAAACGCAAGCCTTTAAAAGTTTGATACAATTTCGAAAATGGCAAAAGCCTGGGTGGAATTCGAATCCACATATGGATGTCGTCTAAGCATTTGTACAGAACGTGTTTTAGAGCTGCGGTACAAAACAGCTCTTGCGAAGGTGAGGTGTTACACACGGCAGAAGATCAGATTGATCAATGTGTTATTGCAGTTCCACTGATACGACGTAAACTGTGTAAATATGGTCGTAGTAACGGTACACCGGTTCAAATCGCACAAAAGAATTTGAGTTTTCCACAACAACTAAGACGTCTGTTGATCAAAAAAGGGCAGAATGCTATAGTCCACGGTGTGCAAGTTAGGCAAGATGGAAGAGCCTATTAATCAAAGATAGACTGCACCAACGTTTTCACCAAGAACAGTACGGTGGTCATTAGAATTTTGGCATCTAGTCTGCTTTGAATTTAAACAAAAAATCCAAACGAGAGGAGGAATAAAAGAGAGAGTTGATGATGTAGCAGAAAACCTCAAACAATGGAAAAAGTAATCATTTACACTTTATAGATACTATCAAATGGAGTGAGGCGATTTGCTGATGGGAACAAATAACAGTGACAAAGAACAGCAGTGTTTCTCTAGTCACTGTGTTCTTCGTGTCCGGAAATCAGGACATTCGAGGTCTCGCACATAATAGGCGGTAAATGTTCCCCGAATTCGTTATCTTCAGAATTAGGCTATGAGGAAGATTAATTGGTCTGGTCAATTACATATACATCTAGTTGCTGTTTAAAAAAATACAATAATAGCTATCCTATTTCCTATACCTTACATGGGGATGAAAATGTGGAAATCAGATAAACTGAGATTCAAGCAAATTGGGATGAATTATCGGACAGGAAAACACCATTTCATGGCTATATTTAAAAAAAATCTTGTTTTACAACTTTGTTCCCGGTTCCAATCTGTTAACTAACTAGTGCAGCCAGTCCGGATGATCGGGATAGATCAGAATCGACAGGCAGCATCAGTAACACAGCCCACTGGCCGAGAGTAGCACCTAATTAGCATAAGCAGAAGGTGTATTTTATGCCGTACAATATGCATAAGTATTAATTAGAACGGATCGCTTTGTTTGCGTGATTTGCGGTCATCTCTACACGTTGGGGCATCGTAAACGCAACTCGTTCTGTGTGGATGCATATGTGCGCGCGTATGTCTCTGCTTGCCTCTAGTTACTGCACTCGGGTGTTGGACTACGGATAAATGAGAAACAACTGTCCATAACGGGATTTAATTTCATGTTCTTACGGCAAACTGAAGCTACACCACTAACACCATCCCCTTTACCAGTGTTTTATAACCGAACGTGGTCAATCACACCAGTAGCAAAAAAGCTGAATGTCTAGTTTCGTTACGACGCGGATTTCGTTTTTTCTACTGTGGTAAGCATCGAAAGAATACAACTCAGTTGAACGCATTTCCACTATAGCGAATATTTGTTGAACAGCATTATCCTCAATTTTATTTACAGTGGATTGTTTCGTTACTGACGACAGGACAGGGCGGGCTAACTGTAGGTAACGTTAGCCCTATAGTGACAACAGCTTACGGTCAAATCATTGGAGCCTGCTTGGATTGGAGCCTGGATAACAGAGCTGTCCGTAGAGCAGCATGCACATTACTGTATGGATAAAGTCAGTGTCATTATAGAACAATGAAATTGGTTTAGACAATTTGACTTCTTTGCAGGTGCCGGATACTGGCAGCGGGCTTGGTTGTGGGTTCCACTCCTTGGGATTTATTAAGTTCTCACGTACTTCAATTACGATAGAAGTTCGACTGACAAACAGACGCGGAAGGTTGTTTCTTGGGACTGGTCAAAGTTTCAAGTCCCAATAGGGACGCAACAGCTGTTCAGTGACCTTTGTCTATCATACGGAGGACTTCCATCTTGAATTATGGATAACAGTTACTCAGTCAGATTCATCAAAAAACAATTGAAGCACTCACAGAGCAACTTATTTCATAACTTGCGGAAAATCCGGAGCCTGTGGGTTAAGCTAGAGTAATCAAGAAAACAGGGAATTTTGTTGGCAGGATAACACGGTATCGTCCAGTAAGGCGAAAATTTCCATCTGATAATATTCTCAACCGTTTTTTTCTTGCGTTTGACATTATGCAGCACAAAAAGCACTTGGACATTGTGGGACATAGTTATTCAGAAAAAGCGGTGATAGTGCTATGCAAATTTATAATCACTCTGTTCCCACTACTCAGCTATCCTACAGGGACGCAGCCATCAAGAATCATCAGCATCATCATTCTTAGAGCACCAAGGATGATTATCGCCGGGCACGTTGTGCTACATCCTTCCTCTATTTTTCTTTCCAAGTCACAACGAGCTGAGCTTTTTTGTACAGGTACCGTAAATCAACGGACCAAACGCCCTTTATGGTGTACAGTGGTGCGTGAAACAGAAAGAAGCGTAATCAATATTATGGTGCATCATTCCCGGTGGGATTTCGAATTCCATCCAGTGGAACTGATGGATTTTTTTGATGCCCGGTGTGCGGAGCGAATGAAACTCCAGCGTACAGTGTTTGGCACAAATATCGATGACCATCAGATATTTTGTACCACATCTCACTGTTCTACCTAGCAACTCGGACCGAATAAATTCACAGATTCATTTGGTGTGTCAGACTGGTAGCATCAAACGCATTGGGTAGTTATGAATTTCTTTTGTAAAATTTGTCTTTTCGCCCAATAGGTGGTGAAATACTACCACAGTTGAATCTCGTGAGTTTCATGGTTTTACAGACATCAGTCTATGAGTTGTTCACAACAGACTGGAGGATGTTCCAGTGAATATTTATCGAAGGGTTTTTCGGGTGATGACGTATACGATTAACCTTATTTCAGCAATCCAAACGGCTGAGACAAAAACACTGTCCGAATATCTAGTCTTCTTTTTATGGAAACTATTTTCCGTTGGCCCACTTGGCGCGAGAGAACTATTTTAATCTCATTGGACAATGAACAACTCGGGAGCAAAGAAGAGGGTATTGGTTCTTGTTGAGTTTGTCGATGAAAAACGCTGCCTATGTGCCATTATGATCGAATACTTTTTGAATCTAATTCGAAGCATTTGTTCCGGATTCAAAATAGATGTTTCACACTTATAAACGTGGAAAAGCTCTCGTGCCCTCAAAGATTTTCAGAAAGATTTTTTTCTTGATCAAACTGGGCACTAAGTTCCACGCTGCTAGATGGCGTGGATTGATTCGGCACTTGTTATATTTTCAACGAACTGCATTTTGATGCACAGTTCGAGGGGGGGGGTATATTTCTTGGTTGGTTGGTTGGTTGTTGTAAGAGGCAAACGTTTCGGTCGGGTTAGAAAAACCTATTCAATAAACTTTCATGCAAACTGGTATAAAGCGTTCCGCGATGTACATGCGTACTAGTAATTTGATGAGAACCGCGAGGGATTCGAAAGGGTGTCTTAAGGTCTCAATAAGCAAGCGTAAGTGAGCGTAGGAAGCCATATTTATCACTAATTTCATACAACAAACAACAGGCAACAAGTTTTCACTAATCAAATAATCACACATGAAGAGAACCAGTGATTTTTATTTGCTTGCTTCAAACTACATGTGATGTTTGGATTCTTTGATATGGGGTTTGAGGTAAAGTGGGAGGAAACATGTTTGTGGTGGATTTTATTGTTCTCAATACGCAACTCGATAAAATGGAAGCTCTCCCTCTATCTAATAGTCCAGAAACATGTTGCACATTATTTCGATCAAGATACCACTGTGGTTTTATCACGAACATGAGATCTTCAAATGATTTGATTTTGGTTGTCTGCCATTTTATCTGTCATGTTTGACCGTATTCGGGTTCGTGGACTTTCATTATTTTTTGTCCAATTAAACACCACTAACTGAGTCGAATCTATTTTAAACAAGACAAACATAAACGCAAGAATCCATAAGGCCACCCCTCTTGTTTGTCGCCAGAGGTATGTCTATCACATGCATGGGAAAATATTAGACACTGACCCAGCCGTTGAACCCTAGTCCCTGAGGGCTGGGACATTCTGTGCCTGTTCTGTGCCCGTTCATGAAAGAGCCACGGATAAAAGGAGAACACACTTAGACAATAAGACATTAAGACTCTACTAAATGGACGACACATGGGAGTATTATAAACAGGTGATCTGTTGGGGGAAGTGGAAAACACGTCCGCAATATTTATGGGAACCCCATACTATTGGTGAAAGTTAGATGTCAAAAAGTATACGTCCCGAAGTGATTTCTATCGCTTTTCAAATTGATCGTGTTTCGTTTGGTTGTGGGAATATAAGCACCAGTCAAATCAACTCCCCTGTCTTCACAAATACAAATACCGATGATAACAGCTGTT